GTTTAGTGGTTAGCAAATTTCACCGCCAACCTCCACCAGGCGACTCGAGTTAGATTCTCATTCACAGCTAATCATCAATGGTCAGTTGTGATATCTGACTCCGTCCTGGGCCACATCTTTCTAACCAGCGCTGTGAAGAATGGTCCAAACCCACCATGATTAACACGGTGGGTGAGATGCCTTTATACAATGGAGCTGTACATCAATAAATACTACCTTAAATACACAACTGGCCACGTCTGCCTCCAGTGCTGATGTTTCCACATGACACTGAATAATGTACTCATTATCTGGTAAGTCAGAGTTCTGTGTTTATGTGTGTGGATACCAGTATGTGTATTGGGGAACTGTGGTGCAGTGGTTAGTGCACTGTGCTCTTGACACTGGATGAGTCCAATGCCCCCAACTGAGCACAAGGCACGAATTATTTGGCAATGGACATCTTGTAAATTGAAACACATTTTTCAACTCGTATCTAATTTCAGTCAATGTAACAGCCCACATAGGCATGTGTTTGCGAAGAAGAGCCACCATTGGATGTTATTTGACTGCACGAATTAGCAGATGGTTTGCTTGGTACATAGCGTTCCTGGAATGGCATTGCTGAAGTGGTGAGGCTGCGTTCCAGTGAACTATTAACCATAAGGAAATTCCACTGACACCAAGGCTGGCGGCACACGGAGCGTTTGTTATCAGTTTGCAGAACAATGTCATAAATATATTAAGCGTATATTTAGTTGGAACTCAAGTTCCCATAAAGGAATTGCGACGTCTGAGGATGTCACTTGACACAGACACCGAGTTGGCCCAGCGGTCCCTTGTGATGAGACCAAAATCTGGGTTACATCTGCAGTTTTGTGAACGCAAACTCGACACTTTATACGGCACTTAAATTCGTATACATAACACGAGTGAATGAGTCTAGAATTGTAATTAAACAAACTACAATACCGCACTGTCATAGAAAAATTGTGACAACGGCAGAGAACTTTTGTTGCATCGAAGCCAGTACTGAGAACCATCTTTATCAAGTTAAACCAAGACTCCCACATTCTTCACTGTTACAGCGATACACAAGAACAGTATATCTCCCATTATAACCAAGTGCTGTATAATGTTGAGGCAAGTTCTGTTTGCGAGCACCTTTTTAGGCCGGCACAGCACCCAAAGGGGTTGTGGTGCAGACGGCACCACAACTGACCACCTCTTTCTTCTCCAGTGCTGATGCTTTCACATGACACTGGATAATGAGCACATTATCCAGCACATTGATCTCACCACTGAACCGCACTGGTAGGCACACGTTAACATAGAACTGACCTACCAGGCATTGCAAAGGCACCTATACACACTGCCAAAAAACTCCGGGGGTGGGGGGGAAGGGGGAGCCGTAATTTTTGTTTCATCAGTCGCAAAAATTAGTGAGTGATTTGTTTTAACGTTCATGTGAAATCGAATACAGTATGTCCCACAATCCAACAAAAAGTGCAGACACCATGCAATTATATCGTTTCGGTGGTTAATTGTTGCATAAATATCAGGCCAGTATCTTAAAAAAAAACCTGACTAAGCAACTACGGCCGAGCCGTGCAAGAAGACGGTACTAACCCGGATACACACCCTTGTTGAGTGGGCTTGTCTGCAGGCACACAAGGTCAATGAGAGTATAGGCCCCCCCGATTCAACACCACTTGGCACAAGCACGTCAAGCAAGAGGCACTGTTGTTGTACACGTATTTTTTTTTCCACCATTGCACTTGCCGCGGTTGTTGGAATGGCTGTTCGGTGAACCGACCTCTTGGGAAACGTGAATTTGTGTTAGTCATTGGGAGAAAAAACAGTACAGCTGCAGGGTGACGAACGGTTGGCGAGCTGCTGCCGCCACCGCCGCTGCTGCTACTTGTTGTTGTTGTGGGACTCCGCTCTGTAGTTCCCGTTGTAATGTTGTTGTTTTTCCACATTACCATGTGCCAGACTGAATGAATTAGCACTCAAAATATGACGAGCATGCGAAGGCTGAACAGGACAAGCTTTGCCAAACTGAATGTGACAAGCATGCCAAGTTAAAATCAACAGGCGTGCTAAGGCCACTGCACGTATTGATAATCATTTAGAGCAAAGAAACACCGCGGTTTATAGTTTGCGTTAAATGTCAAACATTTCCAACCAACATAACTATGTTGCACTCTTTGAATGTTGTCATATTTAATGGGTTTTTTTAACACGTAGGCTTCCGCGACCAATATACATAAGAGGTTTTTGGATTAGATCGCGTAAATATGAATGCATCATTAAAACAAATCTTGCTATTCGCCTGATGATGCTCGTTATAATTACTGGTGAAACGCTGTACTCAAATTGTAAATGTTGTGGGTTTACTCTCCAACGCACCGGTGTGCTGAACTAGTAACGAATTGTCATGTTTTGTTTATGTGACAAACCTCAACTATTTGGCTTCATGGCCTTCCGAGGGCTTGCTCCACATCATATTCAGGAGCCAAGTCAAAGATCCGCTGATTGTGCCCTTTTATGTATACACTGCACCTCCATCGCGGTTACTTTTCTTGGGGTGATCGGGAATTGAATGGTGCCCCCCCTTCCTCCTGCCCCCTCCCCCAAGTTGTGGAACTCCCGACTGGTGCCTCCTCACCCCAGTTGTGGAACTTCCTATCAGTGGAGATCAGGTTCTCGGAAAGTGTTGACATCTTTAAATCACAACTAAAAACCTATTTAAAAAAAATATAAATCCTATTTAGTTTTGTTCCTCTTGGACTCTTATTCTTCCACCCGGTTATTTATTTATTATATTTCTTCTTTTAATTCGCAGCACTTTGAGACGTTTCGTGAAAGGCGCCTTATGAGTGCAAATTATTATAATTCTGCATCCTATGTTGAACAATCTGGTGCGGCTTTCATTAAGCAACTCAGTTGCACATTGCAGTACTTCGCCATAAAAAAAAACAATACATTCATTTTCTTTGGTGTTCTTTACAATTGTATTGTGCGGCAGGTGTGCATTCAGCGCCATGCTATGAGATTAAGTGTCCGTATGGAACTCTCACGAAGCAGTGCACCACCCCCGTGTTAGAAAACGGCCACAGGAGGTGACATCACAGAACGACGGCACTTCCAAGGCCACTTCGAGTGACTTTTTCATCCTCACTCGGGGGGCGCTGTACTTACTCACGTGCCCTACCTAGCACGGAGAAAAATGGGCAACACTTGCCGGTGATTTTTAAACCAATATTTTTGTTACAATTCTCACCGCTGGAATTAAATTTGAACGAGTGGGGTTTTTGTTTTATCCCACAGGGTTGTTTTGCAGTTAGTGGTGACCAGACAGAGACCATCAACTCTCTGCACCGGAGAAAACGAGCAACATGCGCACCAAATACATCATCAACTACACGCACAAACAAACCAGGCATCTAAAATTGGAAGAAAAAAAATCAACAATACGTAAATACATTTCCAAGCCGAGTGCCTAGAAATGAAACGACATTAGAAAAACCCCCACGTAACAAAAAAGACACACACCACACACAAAACAAAGAATGCATAATTTTGTTGGTGACAATCCAGGCGATTGTTCTAAAGTTTTTGAGGAAGGGCAGGCAAGCGGTCATTCTACATTCTTATTCTTCCCGTGAGTAAACACAGGCGCTGGTGTGGGCTGCGGTGGCGGGCTAGCAGCGTGGTGGATACGAGGGCACAAGTGAGCCACGGAAACCTTCGTATTCCAGGAAGCGTTAAACCCGCACAATGAACGTACCGCTGTAAAAAAAAAAAACGGCGCTTTGTGACGCTCGTGGCCGCCAGATGCTAGATAACGGTCGGCTTTTTTTCCCCGTTATAAATTATTAGTGCGCCGCAGTGGCGAGATGTTAACTGCCTCGCCTGGTACGCGGGAAGTCGTGGGGTCGATCCAAACCCTGACGCCTGTATATTTGTAGTTTGCATGTCTCTCTCCCTGTGGTCGCGTGGATTTTTTCTCCGGGTCCTCTGGTTCTTCCCTCCACATTTAGAAACATGCGTTTAGAGGATTTGGCTGCTATAAATTTCAACATAAGTCACTTTGTTGAGCTGTCATTTGTGGCCAGGTCGCTTCTGAAAAGGGGGTTAATAGCTCAGTGGGCCTTATCTGCGAAAATTAAAAGTTTAGTTTACTCAGGCAGAGCGTGCCAAAATAAGTGATTGCCCACGTGATTGGTTGCTATGTTTACGATGTTATAGAACATCTGGTAATCAAGCAGCATTTGTTGAAAACAAGCCTGATTGATCTTGCTTACGAAACCCAGAAAGACAAACCCGTTGCAGGAGTTCGCTTGCTTAAACACATGTTTGATTGATATTACTGGTCTGTAAATCCAATAGGCTGATTAAAACATATTTTATCCGTATGCGGAGACACAAAACAGAAGTTCTGCTGATATATGTTTAAATACAGTCGATTACATTGCAACATTGTACAAGTAACTCATAGCCGGTAGGCAAGTTGCTGAAGTTGTCAAATGCATACATTTTGACTCTTAACATTGAATGATAACATTTCAGTTGTTTATGTACAGTGTGTTGAACTGTTTTTTCACCGTACATAGCCAACCGTGCTAATCGGAGGTGCGGGGGAACGACACACTAAACACAAAAAGCAGTTCTAAAGAAAATAGTTTTCAATCTATATTTAAAAGTACATAGCTCCAACGGCTTCCTAATTTCGGAAGGGAGAGCATTTCAGATGACCGCAGAAACGCGTCTGAAAGCGCGTGATGCGGTGACCATCTTTGTTCTAAAAGCCACCTGCTGCGAGGATTACCGGAGTTGGCGTGATGGTTTATGCTCTTTAACGAGAACAGCAAGGTATTGTGGGCATAAGTGGCAAGCACTGCGTGTAATGAGCGCGATCTTTTTTTATGTAAGTGCGGCAACCGTTGCTCCAACGCTTTCTCCGTGTTTTTTTTGAATGAATGTCTGATGCGTGGCACTGTGTCCGGGGCAAGCACCTGTGGGCGAGGATGTGCTCTGCTCTTTAGTGACCAGAACCTCTCCGAGGAGTTCCTCCTTGACGGCCCATTCCACCTCGCCCTCTACAACCAACAGCGGGGCACAGCGCACAGGGCAGGGCACAACACAGAAACAAATTGTAAGGCACCGATCGCGGACCGTTCAAGAAAAATGACTGAATCCTGGCAGTACACCCAGATGTTAAAATCACATGCCAACACAGCAAGCCAGAGTTGACGAGAGTGAGATAGCAGGGCGGCAACGTTTACTATTTTTGTTTATTAGGAACTGAGCAGATAACCGTGTTCGTGTGCCACTTACGCTCCTCAGTAATCACCGGCCACACATGTAGTAATGTGAGTGTCCTTCGTTTCATACATGCGTGTGGGGTTCATGTGTAAGTGGGGAGGTGGTAGTGATGAGCACAGTGCACTATGACCCTGGAAACCCGAGTTCGATTCCCATTCACGACCAGTATTCGGTGGCCCTGAGACTTCCCCTAGATCGACTCAGTCTTAATTGAGTACTTGGTGAAATGTAAACATCAGCACTGTGGGGCCACTGGTAGCCGGGCGTGGTGCTGGCCACCCTTCCCCTCATATGCCGTGGTGGCTTTAATATGTGCTGGCCAACATTCTCATGTCAGCCCCACTGGAGATCTTTGTCTTTGTGTAAATGAGTGCACAGAATTGCCAGACAATGTGCTCACTTGAACAATATTTAAACGGTCATTTTTAATACCCTTACGAGGGATTTATAGCTTAAGTATTATCATTAGAATGAACCAAAACAATATCAAGGGTTGAAACAGTTAAGGCAAGTAATTTGGAAATAACACATTTGAGGCTTACCGAGACTTCCCAGTTCCTTCTGGAAAGTCCCAGCACAGTATTTATGACAGTTACACCCCAATAGACAAACACATCCTGTAGACGCCATGCAGACTGTTGGGGCAAGGGCTGTGGGAAAGCACGACACAAAGAGGGGGTGTTGTGGCTGGCACCAAGGCCAGTCAGATGTTAATCCACCGTACAATGTGCTCATTTAAAGGCTGTGTTAAATTAGGGATAAGAGGTCCAGACCTTGTTCAGACCTGTTTTCTAGGGGCAGGGATTTAACTGATGTGACCAGATTTGTAGTACTGGATGCAAAAAACAAATGCCATCGCTTAATCGTTTCTTTCCCCCCACCTCACACCCACCCACCATCCCCCAAACACGCTGTACACGCTGGATGATGAAACCATACCTCTATCAACATAATTGACTCATGTGAACATGCACTCGTATTCACAAAAATACTGCTCCCCATCTCAACCCGATGTGTTTCCACTTAGCAACGCAATCCAAGGTTAGGGAAGTGTTGATGCAAGACCAATGATAGATTATAATGTAGGTGAAGGCTATGTTTGTCAGAACTGTGATTCTATGGAGGTTTGTGTGCCTGCCCTTATCTCAGGGTCATCAGATGGCCAATGGGTAAATACACTGAACGGCTTTACACACTGGCCAGTTTTACAAAAAAACGTATCCCAAACGCTTTGTTTGTGTACATGTGTTTGCATATGTTTACATGCATTATCGGTGGGACTCCTAAACGTAGTAGACCAATGCTAAATTTAGTTCAATAGTCAGAGTACTGACCCAGCAGCACTGAAATCCTGGGTTCAAATCTGGGGGTTTTAGTCACTCAAGATTAAACCAGGTTCTCAAGTACAGCCGAGTTGATGGTCTCAGCCTGCTTGCCAATTTCTGCAAAAAAAACTACGATATTAAATACATTTTTTACTTTAGTTAGCTAAATTCCAGCTAGGATAATGAAAGTATATCGCTTTGATTGTCATGTGACGTACATTTCTCCCACAGCAGGGCATATTTGAAAGTGTGTCTCTTCATGTGTGGACAGGAAGAGACCACTTGAAGAGCGTTCAGAAGACGTTTTGTGAAACCTGTTTTCTCTGCGGGGTAATTCTCTATCACGCAAGCCTGCAGTGCTTTGTGGGAGCTCTCAATTCATCATTTGTCTCGTGGCATGGCACCAGTAGCTCAGTTGCAATATAATTTGAAATATACTTATTTTTTTATTCAATAGACAAGGGTAACTCGTGTGGTAAGGACTATACCTCTGGGACTCCTACCGTCTGCTCTACAAGTTAAGTACCCACTAAGGATGCTTGCCTAAGCGGTCAAACCAAACCAAATGGTTGGATCTTTTTAACTTTGCACATGCGCTTATGTTCGTACAGGCAAGTCATCGCATGTGTGTTTAAATACTTACACACACTAGTCCACACACTAATGCTTTGCGCATGGATGTATGAAAAAATGACAATGTTGTATTGACTTTAATGTAGTGAAAAAATTGCTCAAGATATAATCTGTAACAGGGCTGTTTGTAAAACATTTGTAACCAATAAATACCTTCTTCTAACCGCTGCCAATGTATTACGGCTTCGGTGATGGTGCACGCAGAAATAAATGGTTAAAGAGATTACAGGGGTGGGTGGATTGGCAGGGTCAGAGCATCGATAACTGCTTAGGGCTTACGTGTACGTCTGGGGAGACACATATGAGTATTCAGTGGCCTGAAATCAAATGTTTCGCTCCGGATGACCGCTGCAAAGTAAGATCTTGTGTTGTGATTATAGTGTGCTGATCTTAAAGGTGCATTGAAAAATGTTGATACTCCTACTGATACTCCTGCTGTTATGGAGTGACTCATGCAGCCAGCTATGGCTGCAAAGTTTGGTAGTACATGTTATGTACATATATCGTTTATCGTAAAATTTCAATCACAGTTCCTATGATCACTGTTACATTGCTTTTATAGCTTTATTTTGGTGATTTCGAAAACGTTTTGGTTTAGCCATATTTGTTTTTTGTAGTACAGAGTTCGGCTGATAACTTTAATCTAAATTGTCTTATGGTTGTTATTGTTTTACTTCCATCCTACTGGGATTTTTGCACACAGCGTTAATATTCGGTGCTTTTTATGGAAGACTTTGCTGTTTTTTTCCTGGATTTTTCTGTTTGCGCGTAGTCGCTTTAAGACGTTTTCTTGCTCATGTTTTTGTTTGTTGCGGTTGCACCCGATTCAAGAGCCGAATGGCTCACAGGGCTACACCAAATAAATGAAACTGAAACTAATGCTTTCAGCCTAGCCACCATAGACTGAACGAACAACCCATCACCACGTGACATTTAGTCTTCCACTGAATTTAGTCAAATGCCAGCCCTAGCAATTCAAAACATGAGTATGTCACACGACGACAAACGCTCCTCTCATAGCAGGACGTTTTCAAAAGTGTGCTCCCCTAGTATACGGAATAAAGTAACTCGCAGAGATCTCATAAGTAGTTTTGCAAATATATCCTTCTGTGGGACTGTTCTCGAACACAGTAATTGCACTGCCCTGTGAGCCTTCCAAATTGATGATTTGCCTCATGATATGATGCCGAAAGCAAAGCTGGGTTAAAATCTGGAAGAAAATAAAAAATAAAATACTGATAGGTTTCATACATCACTATGCTACCGGAGATACATTGTGTTTATGGGTACAACCACTCCAGATTTGGGAGGTAAGTTACAATCTAGGGTGCAATACCCAATCTATATATCACTTAAATGTCATAGGTACAAGGAATTACTTAGAATGTGTAATACAAGTGAACGTTCAACAACTAAATACACAAGAGGCCAGTATTTGTAAGCAGTCAGCCAACACTCTGAGCTTTCGCAGTGATGTCACTGTCAAACCAAAGCTCCGATTGCCTGGGATTATAACCGACTTTGCACAGCTTGCAAACACCGTGCTGCTATAAATCGGTGAAGTAGACATGCCATTGTGCAACCTCACCATACAGCATGTGGATAAGCTACATTGGCACAAATTCCGAGATATAAAGCACCTCGCACACACACACACATAATCTCGTCAAACATAAAGCACCTTCTGTCAACAAACAAAGGTCACGATAGCACAAGCAGTATTTTTTTTAAATATATAAATTGCGAAAGCCCTTGCATGGGTAACGTTCCACATCCGATAGGTCTTGAACGATGTCGTTTAGAAATCATTCCGCGAGGCTTCGCTCGTAAAAAAAAAAATATTCTAGAAAACGTGTGCTTGGAGGGGTACCGAGCACGTGAAAAACATAAAACACAATATTGGTCATTCAGGCCATTACTTTGGCTTGGAGAGAACTCAAATCAAAAAACATAATTACGTTCGTAAAAAATACGTGGGCTAGTGCAGGACACGTGCCTGAAGGGATAATGGGCCTGCGGTTGAGAATAATGATGAGAATAATGATGAGAATAATGATGGAGTGGCAGCCAAGTTCACATCCACCATGGATATGGAACGATGGAAATCAGCTCGCGTGTATGGGGCTAGGTGCATTGGTACATCGCAAGGGACCATGAGACAATAGTTTTGCGGAGGACTTCCTCCAGCATTGGATTGATCATGGCCGATGATAATAACTACACAATCGTTTTCTTTCCTAGGGTATGCGGTTGCAATGAAAGCTCACACATGACATTGTTCATGAGTAAACAGGATTCATTTTAACAAGTGTATCATTTTGATTTAAAGCTTTCGTGACTGCAGTAATTCATATTCGTAGCTCTTTCGGTAAAGTCACGTTGAAGGGAAACAATAAAATAATAAAATATATATAAAACAATAAAAAAACGTCGTGAAAATTTGTATTGTTTTATATATATTTCATTATTTTATTTTTCCCTTCAACGTGACTTTACCGAAAGAGCTAAGAATAAGTGTATCATTATGTAATTCATAATGATACATTGAACACCTCATGGAAAGCAGTCTTATGTGGCATCTAGACATCGTATTTTATCAACATAAAGCCAAGAGACAATAAGGATCCTAAAATGTAAACACATGTCGAAAATGGGATACAACGCTTGTTATTTGTATGGGTTCACCCGTCAAATATTCGTTGTAACTCCAATCAAACTACTCTTATCCATGGTAATATATGTGAATCATAGTATCTACATCCCCTAATCAATCCACAAAATTCACATTAACCACGTTTTTCATGGATAAGAGTAAC